TGACCACACCTCAAGGCTGCTCAGCCCAAGCCCGAGCCCCCAGCCCTAGTCACATCAAGCACTCACTACTGTGTGAGCTGGCAAAGGAGGGAGATGGGGGCACAAGTGAACCCAGGTGACCATGGTGCACGGTGCAGTTGAATAGGTGGGAAGACCTGGGGGCGTCTGAAGTGAGGGGCCCCTGGCCTCCCCCAGCCAATGGGGCTTGTCTGGGAGGAGTCAAGGGAAGGAGCCCGGTGCAGTTTCTGTGCACACTGCTTTGTGTGACTCAGTAGGACAGAGCAAAGTCCCCATGACAGAGACCGACAGCCCCAGAGTCGGACAGACGGGCAGGTCAGCGACTGCTGGCGCAGTGAGGAGAGACCACCGAGGGCCACAGAGGCATCAAATGCAATTGCTGCCTCTCTTGCAGGGAGGGGGCATTGCTGCGGTGGGGAGATGGAACAGGGCCCTGGGCTATCCTAGCCCCTCCAGTGCACGGGAAGGGACACCCAATGGGCTGGGCTGTTCCACCCTTAGACACAATAAGAGCCACTGCAGGGAATCCTGCCCTTACCGGAACATTCCAGGGCTGAACCGCGGATCCATTGCGCTTCCAGCAGCATTGCTGGGCACAGCAGAGCTCAGCCTCCTCTTCAACCAGGTCCCAGCGGCTCCCCTGCCCCACGATCCCCGTTGGATCCGCCGGGTCCAGGATGATGGGCCTGAAATTCAGGGAGACACGAAGAGTCATGGTGCAGACTCCAGCCGGGCAGAGGCAGAGTCCAGCTGGGCATAACCCTGCTGCCTGACCCCTCCGGCTCTGTCCTGCTAAGCTCCCGTCTGGTCCTTCCTAGGACACCGTGCGGCTAGTTAGTGGCTGCTGCCACCTGGCCAGACGGCCCAGAAGTTCTTCGCTTGCTTTAGCTGCTCTCTGCTCGCTGTCAGCCCTTGCCTAGCCCTGAGCTCTAAGGCCTGGTCTCTCTCAGACCCCAGCTGTCTCTTGGATCCCACCCGCCTATTCCCTCCTCCACCAGCTCCACTCCCCAGCCTCTCCCACACACTGGGTGTTAATAATTATTGCCACTGACAGTATTCACCCAGCACCGGGGTGTCTTGGCCACTCAGAGCATCAAAGCCCTGCCCCACTTCATGCTGGGGCTTCTCTCGTTCTCCTTGCCCCCAGGATGCTGTGTCTGGGTCATCTGCAGTGACAGCTTCACACACACAGGGAGCTCCCTGCCCCCCGCTGTGCAGGGGGGGGGATCACGGGCAGGGCCCCATCGCCACGGCGACAGGGCGCCGGGATGCACACACAAGGGTGGGGGGGTGTTTGCAGACACCTGGATTTGCAGAGCTGAGACTCCAGGTACAATCCCAGGGTTTCATTCGCAAAGCCGTAGTTGATGGTCCAAAAGACACAGAGCTTGGCATGCTGCCGGATCAGCTCCAGCACTGTCCGGAAGCCCTCGGCCATGTTGAAGGCTGGATCCCTGCTCCCTCTCTCCCAGGCGTAGACAGACAGGAGCTCCAGCGCGTACTGGGGGGGCAGGGACTCTTTCCCCCCCAGCTTCTTTTTGTGGGGAAGGACATACTGGGACGGACAAAAGGAAGAGAGGTGAGACAGACAGGCAACAAACCCTCATTCACGCCTAATCCGTGCCCCGAAATCCACTCCGAAAGGGTGGGAAGGGCTGGGAGACAGGGCAGCCAGGACTGGGGCAGTGGGAACTCCCAGCGGCAGGGCCCTCTCCGGGGTACCTTGGTGCCTGCCGGGCCTCCAGCTGGCTATTTCCAGCATGACTCTGTCCCCCAAGAGCTGCAGGGGGGTGTGGGGCGCCCGTGCAGCTGCTGTACCTGTTTGTACCAGCGTTTCACCAGGCGGATCAGACTCTTCAGTTTGGCGGGGAGAGCCATGACGAAATTCCTCTGCAGCTCGGTGAAGCAGGGGGAGAACTCGCTCCCTTCGGGATCGCTCTCCGTCAGCCTGATGTACACCTGGGGGTCGGGTTTATAGCCTCTGTACAGCTGGCCTAGCAGAGAACGAACACAGGCGTGTAGGCCAGGGGTAGCTAAGCACCCTACGTACCCCAGTGCTGCGGGTGGCATGACCACTCCCCACCCCGCTCCCTGTGCCCACTACTCCGAGTGGGGCCTGGCGTTACAATCACAGACCCAGTGCCCATTGGCTCCTGACCTTTCCCTGAGATTTTCTCTTCCCCTTCCCATAGGAACTACTTTGCGTGGCAGAAGGATACACTTCGGCCTGCTCACTCCCACCTCAGATTGTTTTTTCCAAGGTTTTTTTGAAAGGAAGGGGAAAGTGAAGGGGCCAGACTCCATCCTGGGCAGGGGCCGGTCCTCACAGTGGGCTCCTGCCAGGTGCACCCTTGGCCTGCCCGCTCAGCCGGGCTGGGGCGTGACCCAGCACATCACCCGTGGCTGGCACAGCTGCGCCGGCCCAGAGAATTCATGCAGCTTGTGATGATTGTTTCTGGAGGCCCCTCAGGCCTGTTGGCAGATCAGAGCAGCTCTGAGGTGACGAGCAGCTCTCGTGGGGCGGGGGGCGAGATGGGCAGGGGGACCGGAGGGCACTGTCACCAGAAAGGAGCAGGATTTGGAGCGGGACCGAGGGGAGCTGGGCTGGGAGTGCTAGTCCTTAGCTTGGTCCAGCTTGTAATCCGGGTCCTCCCCTGGCCATGCATTGCCCCTCACACTTGGCCCCTCCTTCCCACGGAGCTGAGCCAGTGCTTGAAGCTTTGAGTAGCCTGTTGTACCAGGCTCCACTCTCTGAAAGTCCTGGGCGTCATTCAGATAAGGCCCTTCCCTGAGCGCCATGTGGTGTCCTCCAAATGCTGCCTGCTTGCTCCTGAATGGGTCAATTTAAACAGTGACTAACAACCCCCCCGCCGCTATTGGCTGGTGCCTCTGTTCTGAATCACAGGTGGGCAGGACAAGCGAGAGGAAGAGAAGCAGTTTAGGGGAGGTACAGGAAACGCAGTCCCTGGATGGTGCTTTCTTTTGAGGCGGGCTAGTGCACAAGGAGGAGATCAGGTGTGCATATGGTGTGCATGTGTGATGGCCACCTTCTTGACCTGGGATCGAACTGGGGTCCTGCAGAACTACAAGCATGGTACAATGTGAGCTAAAGCTAAAACGTACGGTAACAGACTCCTCTGCTCTGTGGAGTAGATAGAGAGGGGAAGCCATAACCCACACTGACCAGTGGGTGAGGCACATCCACGCGCTTAAACATCCACGTGAATTTACACCTGCAAAGCTAGACACATGGGATACATTTGCAAATCATAGTGGGGGAGTTTGGCCATGGATTCCCCTTAAAATCTCCTGGTGTCACGTGCTTACAACCCAGCACACCCCAGAGAACATGGAGCCATCACTATCTCGAAAGTAGCAACAGCTCTGGCAACGCACCATGGGAATCCAGAGAGACTAGACGGTCATTGAGAAACACGGTCCCTGCCCTGGGAATCCAAAACAGTGCATTTTACCTAGAGCGTCGAAAGCCGGCAGCACGTCAAAATCAATATGTTCACCCATGGTATTCGATTTTAGGGTAAAAGTGAGCACACGGGGGTTCTCCCACTTTGTTTTCTTAATGCTCAGCTCTAGGTCTTTTCCCAGGGACTCTCTGCATTCCTCCAGCCTTGTCTGGATTTCAGCAATGATTTTTTTCCGTTTTGCTTTCAGGTCCTGGAAATCCGTAATCGAGCTGACAAACACGACGAGGTCCACATCGGAGACGTCTTTCAGGGCCGTGCCTTTCCCCGATGAGCCGGCCTGGAGACAGAGAGAGAGAGGTCCCACTGAGTCCTTCCGCAGAGCGCTCAGCTGTGGCCCACCCGCATGGAGGAGCTGCTTCCTGTGCCACCCTGGAGACACCCCCTGTGGGACATCCCACGCTCACTGACGAGTACAGGGTGGGATCAGGGCCGAGCGGATGTGGTTTTGGCCCGTGGCGGTGGCAAAGTGAGTCCTGGCCTTGGGAGTGAGCATCGGAGGAGCAGGGAAAAGGGGCTTCCCCAGGAGTTAGGGCTGATTCTGGTCTCAGTCACAGGGGTTTTACACCGTGGATCTCAGCCGCGTCCCTCCCGCAGATTCAGGCCCTTGGTCAATTCTTCATTTGACGTCAGCAGGTGACTCACGTGAGTAACTGCTCCCCAGTGGAGGCAGAGTGGTCTGGGAGGGGAAATCTGATAAAGGACGGGGCCTGGTGATCTAGTATTGGTGGGGCCGGAGGCCCAATGTTGGTACCAGTCGTTATTTAAGGGCCCAGGCAAGGGCTTCCGGGGAGGGGCGGAGGGGTCCCCAGTGGGGTAAGAACCATTTGAGCCCGGAAGGGGGCTGGCAAAAATGAGTTATTTTTGTTTGGACCCCTACATATCTCTGGAAGGTTCGTCCGACCTCACTTGTTAAAAGCCTGGAGGAGACCATGTGCAAGCACCGCAGGGGGGTGGCAGGGGCAGCAGTGCGCCCAGCTGGGAGGGGGGCTCAGGGGTGAGCTAAACAGCCCCCCGCCCCCAGCTTTATACCAGGTCACTAGTGTTGTTAACTTTCCTTACACTAGCGGGTCGCACGCTGCGTTGCTCACGTGGCCTGAGCTGCATGTTTCCAACTTCTTCAGTGCACGCAGCTCAGCAAGCTTTCAAAAAGAATGTGACCGATTCTCTGGATGTGACGTATTGCCGGGCTGGGGGCTGGCCAGAGTGATGACAAGGGGCCCGGACGGGGCATGTGGGATCAAAAGAAACAGCCTGGGGGGGCTGGAGTGGGGGCAAGGGCCCATCCGAGGCTAACCATCACCCTAAAAGTGACTACGTCTCTGCTCCCCTCCCCCAGGCCCCTGCGAGGTCACTGCCTAGCCCATAGCCAGAGTGACTAAACAGCGATTTTAGTGCAAATCCGGGTTTTTCGGTTTTCGCCACGGCCATTCTCCACCCTTGACTCTGGCATCATCCCCTGCCTGATGCAGCGCAGCCTCAAATGCCAGACCCGAGCCCCGTGTCCCAGGGGGCCATCGCTCGGGGGGTCTCCCTAAGGGAAAGGCAATTCTGCAGGTATTTTGCCTGCCCTCTGGCTCTCCCCAGACACAGCCCTGCACAAATACCGACAGTGACCATCTGTCCCCCATTTCCCCACACTGGAGTCCTGCACCTGGGAACCAGCCCCACCTCCCTTCTCGCTCGCCCCTTCTTTAGACACAGGCAGAGGGGTCCCCGACGCTGCGCCGTGATTCACAACAGCATCACCCTAGCTGTTGTACACTCACCACTGAGTACACTCACCTCTGGACTGTTCCCCCTCCCCTTCCCACTCCCCCCAATGCCTGGAGAGGCAGGGTCGGGCTGGTCTGTGCACCCCATCTCCATCGCTCACCTTAACCACCTTCAGCACCCGCATTGCAGAGCCGGAGTTTCTGAAGCAGTTTTGGGTCAGAAATAGGAAGATGGTGTGAATGGCTGTGCTGATCTGGTTCTTGAAAACTCTGTTGGGCTGCAGGTCGTTGCTGATGAATGTATCGAGTTCCTCAGCTGGTGTCTGGTAGAGCCCCATGACTGGTGGTGGTGAGGAGACAACAGGGGCTGCCTAGGACGGGACTAGCCTGTGTGTGCCCCTGGCAGAGCGGGACTGTCTCTTGCTCCTTCTGGACTGCAACAGGCACAGGGTGGGGAGGGGAACAGCAGCTGCAGAGGGTTGGTTGCTGCACAGAGGCCTCGCCTCCTTTCATTTCCTCAGCTCTCTGATCAGTTTCGTTTCTCCCAGGGCCACGCTGCTCCCTGCCTCAGGAATGCTTTGGGGTCCGCTGCCCTGCGCCCCACTTCCTGGCTGTTAGCTGGAATCTCTCCCTGCCTTCCCAGAACTGCCCGGGTGCCGAGCTCAGCTGGCCTGTTCGTTGCTAGGCATGCGTGGCCCTGGCAGGGTGAACACGCAGCTCTACCGTTACTGTGTCTCAGTGATTTCAGATCCCATGTTTTCACTCTGCAAGTTCCAGATGGTTCGAGGCCAGCTGGATTCTGACAGTCCTGCCCTGTTTTTCCACCTCCTGCATCATCAGCAGTAATCCAGGGTCCGCAGGCCAAACTCTGTCCTCCCCTCCTCCTGCATTCCCCTCCCAGGGCTTGCGCAGGACTCACTCACTGGCCCTGGAACGGGAACTTAGCCAATCAGTCTGTTGCTGGTGCATCAGGAGTAGAGCAGAGGTGGGCAAACTACAGCCCGCGGGCCACATCCGGCCCCTGAGCTCCCAGCCGGCCCCTCCCTCGCAGCCTCAGCTCGCCGTGCTGGCAGCGCGGCTGGCTCCGGCTGGGCGGCCCGGCTCAGGGGTGAACACAGGGTGCCCTGGCAGGGCCCCCCAACAACAGGGGCCCCCGGGGCGGGCACTCGGGCAGCTCAGCACCGGCGCACCCCCCGAGGGGGAAGGGCTGCACTGCGGGAGCAGGGGAGCAGGCGGGTGGCGAGAGCGCGGCGAACGCGGCCGAAGGACTCAGGAGGACACCGGGCGGCCGCGCAGCTTTGAAGGGGAAACTGCCGCTTCTCTCCGGCGGCGCGGCTGCCCCCGCTCCTCCGGAGTCCTCCGCCCGTGTTCGCAGGGCCACATTCCGAAAGGGGCTGGGGGGGCCCCAGAGGGGCAGTTAGGGGCAGGGGGTACCGGGAGGGGGTGGTCAGGGGACAAGGATCAGGGGGGTTGGATGGGTCGGGGGTTCTGAGGGGGGCAGTCAGGGGGCGGGAAGTGGGAGGGGGCGGGGGCCAGGCTGTTTGGGGGGGGCACAGCTTTCCCTACCGGCCCTCCATACCGTTTCGCAACCCCAATGTGACCCTTGGGCCAAAAAGTTTGCCCACCCCTGGAGTAGAGTGACCATACATCCCGTTTTGGCCAGGACATCCCGTTTTTAGCCCTGTCCCATCCCTCCTGACTTTTTTGGCAAAAGTGGACATTTGTCCCGTTTGCTCTTGCCAACTTGATCAGTCGACAAGAGCAAAGGGGACAAATGCCCACCTTTGTCAAAAAGTGGGGTGCAGAGGAACGTGTGGGGGGGAGGCGGGAGAGCAGCGATGCCAGCCCCGTGCAGGGGGGGCAGGCAGGGCTCGGGCGAGCAGCAACGCCAGCCCCACCCTTTGGGAAATATGGTCACCCTATGTAGTATGTGCATCGCTGCTCGCCCAAACCCTGCCTGCCCCCCGTGCAGCGGCAGTCTAAAAAGCAAACTGCATGTTGAGAATCATTAATAAAGGGCTAGAGAATAAGACAGAAAATATCATATTGCCTCTATATAAATCCATGGTACACTCACATCTTGAATACTGCGTGCAGCTGTGGTCGCCCCAGCTCAAAAAAGATATATTGGAATTGGAAAAGGTTCAGAAAAGGGCAACAAAAATGAATCTGTCTGGGGATTGGTCCTGCTTTGAGCAGGGGGTCGGACTAGATGACCTCCTGAGGTCCCTTCCAACCCTGAGATTCTATGATTGGGGTATGGAATGGCTGCTGTATGAGGAGAGATTAATAAGACTGGGACTTTTCAGCTTGGAAAAGAGACAGCTAAGGGGGGATATGATAGAGGTCTATAAAATCATGACTGGTGTGGAGAAAGTAAATAAGGAAGTGTTATTTACTCCTTCTCATAACATGAGAACTAGCGGTCACCAAATGAAATTAATGGGCAACAGATTTAAAACAAACAAAAGGAAGTATTTTTTCACACAACGCACAGTCAACCTGTGGAATTCTTTGCCAGAGGATGTTGTGAAGGCCAAGACCATAATAGGGTTCAAAAAAGAATTAGATAAACTTATGGAGGATAGGTCCATCAATGGCTATTAGCCAGGATGGGCAGGGATGGTGTCCCTAGCCTCTGTTTGCCAGAAGCTGGGAATGGGCGACAGGGGATGGATCACTTGATGATTCTGTCATAGAAATTTCTGTCCATTCCAGCTGAGGAATAAGGAGAGACGGACACAGCTAGCCAAGCAAGGAGCCCCGGGAGGGGCGATCCGTTTATTTCAATTGCAATTGGGTTCGAGCTCATAAGTCAGCAAGAACAAAGAAAACACTTACACCAAAGCATTATATGCAGTTGCTTATGATAATCTATCGCTCTATGATTGGCCAAAATTTGCCATCATTACCATACATAATTAGCAAGCTACATGTATCTGCCCCTCTTATGACCCCTTATTGTTCATCTACTTGCCCCCTCCTCCTTGCTTATTTTGCAAACTAAGCAGTTAGCTATCGACAGGACGCAGGCACAGAAAGTTCCATTGTCTCCAGGTTTGGAGTTTGGCTCCATTTCCTCTTGAAGGAACTTCCTGACTACCTATAGCTGACCCTGCATTTTTTCCTTCTTCTTTCTCCCATGTGTACGTGACAAATTTGCCCCCTGGCAGTTAAGTAGAATAATTTTATATCAATTCCCTGTTCTGTTCATTCCCTCTGGGGCACCCGGCATTGGCCACTGTCGGAAGACAGGATACTGGGCTGGATGGACCTTTTATCTGACCCAGTCTGGCCGTTCTTATGATCTTATGTTCATCTGCTTCACATTAATGGGGTATTCTTAGTCGATCTCCCCAGGCTGCTGGGTGTCCCCTGAACCCCTCAATCCCGGTCTACGTCTCCTGTGGCTGAAACAGGGAAGCGCAGCAGTTGGGGATCACTCCCACCCAGAGGAGTCAATTGTCCCCATCTTAGTCCCTGGTCTCTAGGATCAGTCAGGCCCTGGGGCCGCCACAACCATGGGCCCGTGTCACAGGCACTGTGTTTGTTTCACCTGACAAGCGGGACTGTCTGTCGGGAGAAGCACCTTTGACCTTGGGAGGTATCTGCAGTGTCCTCATGGCACTGCTGTGGCACTGGGCCAGCCCTCGATCCCACCCTGTCAGGACGGGTCACTCCAGGGAGCCCAGCTGGGGGGTGGGGGGAATATAGGACATGCAGGGCAGAGGGCTCGGGAAACTGTGCTGGGAGAAGGTGGAGCCAGGGCTCCCCCATGCCCGGATAGCAGAGGGAGAGCGAAGGGCCAAGCCCTGCCCAGAGGACGGAGGGGGCTGCACAGGGGTTGCAGGGACTCCCCTGAGGTTACCCTGCCTGCACCGAGTGCAATCTGCGTCTGGGCGTGAGAGGGAGAGGCCTTGCTGTGAGGGGAGGGGGCTCCCCGAGGCCTGGCCCATCTGTCCCCTTGTGCATGGAGGTGGGGGCTGGTCCCAGGTATAACAGAGCCCCTCCCACATGGACAGGGAGTCCCACCCTCACCAGTGCGGGCCAGGGCTGGAGCGCAGATCCAGCGGGCTTCTGGCAGCATCGCGCCCGTGCAACTAGGTCCCAGCTGCTCCCCTCCCCCCGATCCCCGTCAGATCCGCCAGGTCCAGGATGATGGGCTTGGAATGGAGAGAGACACGCAGTCCCGGTGCAGCCTCTAGCCGGGCAGAGGCAGGGGCCCTGCAGCCTGGCCAAGCACCACGCTGCCCCCGCGCCCACGGGCTCTGTGCTGCTTAGCTCCCGTCTCACACTGACTTGGACCAGATCTGGCCAGTTGCACCAGCCAGGCCTCCCTCTCCTCCCAGCTGCCAAGTGCATACGTGGCTCTCACTGCCCTCCAGCGGCCCCTCGCCCACAGGGCCCCAGGGTGGGATCAGGCCCAGCGTTACAGGAGCCTTAGGGGGAGGTGCTGCCTCCCCGGTGACCCGCTGAGCCCCAGTAGCTTAGGGCAGCGCTGAGCCCTGCCTTGCAGCAGTGCTGCACTGGTACCTCAATCCCCACCCCATGCACCACCCCCGACCCCCCTGGCAGCGCCCTCCCAGCTCCACCCCTCTCCACCTCGATCGCCCCCCAGCACCTCCCCCGCCCAGAGCGGTGCAGAGCAGCTGGAGCGTCTGGGGAATCGGAGCCGGGATCAATAGGTTAATGTACAAATACATGGGAACATGCGGAGGGGCTGGCATTTCCCAGCCCTTGGGTGCTCAGCTCGGCTACCGTACTGCTCTTTTAATGCCATTCTTAATATCATTGCCTAAGCTAAACCCAAAAGTTAAAAACAGAAAAATCCATCATGGGGAACCAAACCGACCCCCAGCCTGGGTCAGGATCTTTGGATGCACAGCACAGCCTTCTGCACTTTGTAACGAAGTAACTGCTCACAGTACTTGGCTCTTATCCTCCATGCGGCCCAGGCAGTAAAGCCGGGGAAGAGAGAGACACACTTTGCGGGTGGGTTCACACCTCTCTGCTGACAGCAGAAGAGAGACTCAGGGTATGTCTACACTACAGGATTAATCCGAATTTAGATAATTCGAATTTGGGAAACAGGTTGTATAAATTCGATTGTGCGCGGCCACACTAAGCACATTAATTCGGTTTTTAACCACATTAATTCGGTGGTGTGCGGCCACACTACCCCATTACTTTAACCACAGTAATTCGGTGGTGTGCGGCCACACTAACCCTAATTCGAATTAACAAAATCGATTTAAGCGCTACTCCGCTCATCGAGGTGGAGTACAGAAATCGATTTTAAGTGCCCTTTAATTCGAATTAACTGGCTCTGTAGTGTGGACGGGTGAAGGGTTAATTCGGATTAACGCAGCTAAATCCGAATTAAAGTCGTAGTGTAGACCAGGCCTCAGGGTTCAGTCCCTGGTTTTGTAAGTGAGAATGATCTAGAGTCGTAAATCCTTCTGCCCTGTGCCCCCGCCTCGTCTCTGTCGCCTCCTATCCCTGTGCTGTGTATCCCTCCCCCCCATCCTGGATCCTATACAGCCCCCCGGCTCCTTCCCTGCCCCACTTTGTGCCTATATACCTCCCATCCTCCGCTCCTATCCACCTTCCCTCTAACTCCCATCTCTCCACCTGTTCCCATTCTTCTCTGCATCCCCTGCCCTCTGGGTCCTGCAACCCACCCTTCCCCCTCCTCTCACCTTATTTATCACCTGTTAAGGCTGATCCCCCACTCTGGCACTTCGAGTGCAGAAGGTGGGGGCCCTCAAGGATTCTAAACGTTAATACTGGCCACTCCAGGCTACTATTAAACTCCCAAGTTACAGCTTCTCTCTGACCTTGGATGGGTAGATGCTGCCACCACCCAAGTGCAAAAAAACCCTTTGGACCCACGAAGGCACACTTGGGAATTCCTCCCTGTGGGATACCCTCAAGCCCTTTCACTCCCCCCCCTCCCGGGGAAGAGCTGAGAAAGAAAACAAAGAAAATCAGCTGTTGCCACCAGCTAATTAAACAACATGCACAGCAAAAATCCAATCCTGTTCTTAAAAAAAGGTAAATGTTATTAAAAACAAAAAGAAAGAAAATACCTCTGGAACTTAGGCTACTGCTAGATTTAAAAAGAGCAAATATAATAATTAAGCATCAAGAATGGTTTTCTTGAGGTCCAGCTTAAAGGTTACAAGCAAAACAAAAGCACAGAGGAGTCCACAAGCCATAAAGAAATAAAAGCGAAACCTAATCACATCTCCCTAGACATTTCCTGATCTACTTACATATTGGGGGGAAGGATAGCTCAGTGGTTTGCACATTGGCCTGCTAAATCAAGGGTTGTGAGTTCAATCCTTGAGGGGGCCACTTAGGGATTTGGGGCAAAAATCTGCCTGGGGATTGGTCCTGCTCTGAGCAGGGGGTTGGACTAGATGACCTCCTGAGGTCCCTTCCAACCCTGATATTCTATGATCTGGGGTTTCAAATAAGTAGTTTCTAGGGCTGGTTTTTCATACCTGGCGCAAGCTGCTTACAGCATAGCTGCTCTGTGTCTCCTCTCCGGAGAGAACAACAGCAGCCAGACAAAAGGGGAATCTTGTTTCAATTTTAAAAAGTTCTAGCCTTCCCATTGGCTCTTTTGCCCAGGTGCCCACTCCCTTCCTTTTACCTATGCATGCAGTGAGACTTTTAACCCTTTACAGGTAAAGCAAGCAGAGAACAGCTACCAAGGGGGATTTTACAGCTAACTGGCTGGCTGGGTGTCCATAAAAGGGAGCTCCTCACCCCCCCTTCATTTATCACATCACCTCTTCTCCATGCCAAGGTGGCTGCTTGCTCCTCCTTCTTCACAGCCGAGGTGCCAGCTGGGACAGTATTCACACCATAGGAGAGAGATTCCCCCATGACACTACGCCCCATATTTGTCATAGTAATATTATTATGGCATCATTATGAAGCATTTTGTACAAGATGTGTCATATAAGGTGTCATTGGAAAATTTATGATTTGCTGAATAGGATTATCCTATTTGTGTGCATGTATCATTTTTGTATCAGAAGTTATGAATATTGACTGTGTATCTGTATTTCACATGTAGGCACACCTGGGTGACACCCACTAGGCAAGATGCTTCCAGTCTAAATAGCTGGTAGTGAAGGGCCCATTCATAGAATCATAGAATATCAGGGTTGGAAAGGACCTCAGGAGGTCATCTAGTCCAGCCCCCTGCTCAAAGCAGGACCAACCCCCAACTAAATCATCCCAGCCAGGGCTTTGTCAAGCCAGGTCTTAAAAACCTCTAAGGATGGAGATTCCACCACCTCCCTAGGTAACCCATTCCAGTGCTTCACCACCCTCCTAGTGAAATAGTGTTTCCTAATATCCAACCTAGACCTCCCCCACTGCAACTTGAGACCATTGCTCCTTGTTCTGTCATCTGCCACCACTGAGAACAGCTGAGCTCCATCCTCTTTGGAACCCCCCTTCAGGTAGTTGAAGGCTGCTATCAAATTCCCCCTCACTCTTCTCTTCTGGAGACTAAACAATCCCAGTTCCCTCAGCCTCTCCTCATAAGTCATGTGCTCGAGCCCCTAATCATTTTTGTTGCCCTCCACTGGACTGTCTCCAATTTGTCCACATCCTTTCTGTAATGGGGGGCCCAAAACTGGACGCAATACTCCAGATGTGGCCTCACCAGTGTCGAATAGAGGGGAATGATCACGTCCCTCGATCTGCTGGCAACGCTCCTATTAATACAGCCCAAAATGCCGTTAGCCTTCTTGGCAACGAGGGCACACTGTCGACGCATATCCAGCTTCTCGTCCACTGTAATCCCCAGGTAATGGGCCATTAGGGAAAACAATAGGCCTTAGGAAAAGCTTATCTCCTCCCCTCCCCCCAGCCTTCCTGAGAACGCTTACTCTGACTCTGCAAGGCCATGTGACCAGACCACATGTCTCTGGACTCCATTTTGGCTGCCTGTATTTTTCCACAAGCTGGGCTGGGAACTGGTTTTGGAGCAAGGGGTTACCGCCAGATGCTAACGCTATATAAGGGCGTGACATCATCTGTTGTTCTTCACTCCCCCATAACTGAACACCTAAGAAAAGCTCCAAAAAAAAAGGACTTGGAACGGGGGTGGGGAGCCCAAGCTGCAAAGCAAGAGCAGTTTATGCCTTGAGAATCTGCGCGCCTGCGTGTATCATCAGCCAGGGTGAGAGATCGTTAATTCAAATCCTGTCCTTCTAGTATGTTAAGTTTGCGTTTTTGTGTATTTACTAGGTAATCTGCTTCGATCTGTTTGCTATCACTTATAGTCACTTAAAATCTATCTTCTGTAGTTAATAAACTTGGTGGGGTTTTTTGCTTTATCTAAAACCAGGTTGCCTTTGACTGAAGAGCCTGGAGAAAATCTCAGTTTGGTTTAACACAAGCGTATTGTGCATGTCCTTCCCACATCGCGGGGAGGGCGAACTCTATGAGCTTACATTGTACAGATCCCTATGCAGTGCAAGACAGTACAATTCTGGGTTTATACTCTGGGGGGGCGGGGTATGTGCCTGGGGAGCTGGGAAATTGGCTGGTGTCTGCTGGTTGCACTCAGGTAACCGAGTTTGGGGGAGTGGCGCTACCTGCTGTCATGTGGGTGATAACGGGGCCTGGGTGAGGCTGGTTGTGTCCCCAACCAAGGAAGCAGTGTGAGCAGGGCCAGTCCAACTGAGTGGGTAGAGGAGCACAGCAGTTTCTCACAGCTCCCAGACTGCACCCCAGGGGTGACAACCTGTCACACCCCCTCCTCTCCATTCTAGCTCCACAGCTGTGCCCAGTAGCCAGGACCAGCAATTGCAAGGAGAGTGGTGCTCAGCCCTGGGTTGGAGCATGCTCTGTGGAGCTGCTGCAGGTGAGCTCTGGTCACAGGTAGCCGCTGTGAGGGTGCTCAGTGCAGATGGACACTTCAGAGAGCTTAGCTGCAAAGTTCATAGAATCATAGAATCTCAGGGTTGGAAGGGACCTCAGGAGGTCATCTAGTCCAACCCCCTGCTCAAAGCAGGACCAATTCCCAACTAAATCATCCCAGCCAGGGCTTTGTCAAGCCGGGCCTTAAAAACCTCTAAGGAAGGAGACTCCACCACCTCCCTAGATAACGCATTCCAGTGCTTCACCACCTTCCTAGTGAAATAGTGTTTCCTAATATCCCACCTAAACCTCCCCAACTGCAACTTGAGACCATTACTCCTTGTTCTGTCATCTGCCACCACTGAGAACAGTCTAGATCCATCCTCTTTGGAACCCCCTTTCAGGTAGTTGAAAGCAGCTATCAAATCCCCCCTCACTCTTCTCTTCTGCAGACTAAACAATCCCAGTTCCCTCAGCCACTGGCTAGACAGCCCCTACAACATCTGGCACGTCACACTTTATTGTTAGGGGAACCCAGGACCAGCAGATAATGAAGAGAAACAACGGTTATTCCCAGAAAAGATGGGGGTGAATTAAAAGAAGGAAACAGGACCCGAACCGTAACCAACCCATCATGCTGCTCTAAGCGCCAAATGCCACAAACAGAGTAGCAAGGCCGCCTCGCCCCTGGAGCGTCCCCACTGCCTCAGCTGGCTGGTGGAGTGGGAGCTCCGGGAGAGGGGCTGGCGTCTCTTGCAGGGAAGCCCTTATCTCTCTTCTGGGTGCAGTGGGTCCCTGGTGGAGTCAAACCCTGGCTGCTCCTGGCTAAGGGTTGCCAACTTTCTAATCACACAAAACGGAACACCCTAGCCCTGCCCCTTCCCCAAGGTCCCACCCCCTGCTCACATTCCCTCTCCCTCTGGTTCGCTCTCCCCCACCCTCATTCACTGAGCTGGAGCAGGGGGTTGGGGTGCAAGAGGGAGTGAGGGCTCTAACTAGGGGTGCGGGCTCTGGTGTGGGGCTGGGGATGAGGGGTTTGGGGTGCAGGAGGGGGCTCTGGGTTTATGGGAGGGCTCAGGGCTGGGGCAGGAGGTTGGGGTGCAGGCTTACCTCGGGTGGTTCCCAGTCAGCGGCGCAGCGGGGCTAAGGCAGGCTCCCTGCCTGTCTTGGCACCACACTGCACCCTGGAAGCGGCCAGCAGGTCTGGTTCCTAGGCGGGGTGGGCCAAGAGGCTCCGCGCGCTGCTCTTGCCTGCAGCCACTGCCCCACCCTAGCTCCCATTGGCCGCGGTTCCCGGCCAATGGGAGTGCGGAGCCGGTGCTTGGGGCGGGGGAAGCGCACAGAGCCTCATGGCCCCCCGCCTAGGAGCTGGACCTGCTGGCCTTTTCCAGGGCAGAGCGTGGTGCCAGGACAGGTAGGGACTAGCCTGCCTTAGCCCCACAGCACTGCCGACTGGACTTTTAACGGCCCTGTCGGCAGTGCTGACCGGAGCCACCAGGGTCTCTTTTCGACTGGGTGTTCCGGTCGAAAACCGGACACCTGGCAACCCTAGCCTGGCTCCGGGTTCAGGAAGCCCTACTGGGCACACTGGCAGTCAGCCCTCACAGACGCAGGGCAGTCTTGGGGCCCTCTGGTCCAGATGGCTTCTGCTGGGATCAGCCCTAGGGCTACGTCCCCTCTGGCTGCCAGAGGCTGCCAGCTCTCCTCACAAACACTGTCCCTGCCCCACTCGATGCCCGTCAGGGTGATCCCAGCACGGGCAGGCTCTCCAGGGCCTCCAGTTTGTCCACTGAGCTCCTGGCTTGGCCCCCACAGGCTGCCTGCGTCTCTCCAGCACAGACTGAACAGGCTGGCTGCATTCAGTACCATAGTCTCTGTGCTGCTGTCTGCAGGACCTACTTCTCCCAAGCCCCCAGACTGGCAGGGGGAATAAATTCTCCATACAGCCACCCTCCCCCCCCCACTCCTTCCTAATAGCGTCCCCCAGGGAAACAGATACATTCTCCCCCCAAGTACCTCTCATCTTTCCTGCTCTGCTGTGGAAACCCAGCAGGACCCATGTTAAATGGGCATCCCTGTTACATTCCTTTTGATGGAATAAATGTGCCCAGAGCCTCAAAGGTGTTAACACGCCTAGGAAGCAGGTGCTTGGGGCGGCCAATACAAAGGGGCAGTGCTCCGTCCACTATTGGGGCGGCACGTCCGGGAATTCGGTGGCAGGTCCATCATTCCATCTCTTCCTCTTTGAGCTGCCGCCGAATTGCCACTGAAGAGGAAGAGAGGGAGTGAAGGAAGAGTGGAGCGGCGCGATTGAGCTGCCGCTGAAGTACCGCTTTTTTTCCCCCCCGCCGTTTGGGGCAGCAGAAAACCTGGAGCCGGCCCTGAACACGAGCCTGTCACTGTACAATATCAAACGGTCAGTGTGGTTCGGGGCTCTCGGCCTGCTCAGCCCCATGGCAAACAAACCAGTACATGTTTTGTTAACACCTTTTATTAAGAATACCAGAAAAGAAGGAAAAACGTTAAAGCATCTGAAATGTAAAGTATTAAGTTCGGTTTGATTTTAACAACGTCCCTGCTTCCCTTTCCATTAGCTGTAGAAAGTCTGTAGCTAGGAGACCCCTGTCTGATGTATCTAGGATGATATCTAAGATGGTAACAACTGTCAGTTTGGGGAGGGGGGGGGAGAAAGTGAGTTGAGCTGGTTTGGAGATGTTGCCGTTAAAGTGCCAGCCTGCTTCCTTTAAGACAAACACACACAAGGGGCGAGAACAGAACAGCACAGAGTCAAATTGCAGCCTCTGTCTCTGGTGCTGACTCATTTGCATCCTCACTGCTGGAGAAACCCACCGAGCACACGGTCCAATCAGCCGCTCCTGGCAAACCTGTACCAGGATCGGACGATTTAGGGCATTGCTTTTAGCTGCCTCTTTGGACAAAGGCTCCCAGCAGTGATGCAAAATGTGCAGTCATGGGCGGCTAAGCCAGACTCTTGTTAAACAGAAGGCAAACGGCGAGGGGTAGGAAAGAGAAAGTCTTTTCTTTTCAGCCCCCCCAAAATGGAGTGGTGGGTGAAACAGCCCAGCCCCTCATTATTTAGGCCTGATTTCTGATGCACCCATTTTGGCTGATTGATTTTTGGCCTCACACTTCTCTTGTTTACCAGGCAAGATCTTAACTCCGGCCTTGAGTTGAGTCATGTCAGGAGGCCGTTTGGTTTAGACTAATTCAGTCTGGCTCCCTTTGCTCCCAGAACACCAACACTGATGACAACAGGTCGTGACATGTTATGAACTTTCACTCACTTCTCACCGTTCAGCGCACTCCGAGGGTACATTAGTAGACCCAAACATTATGACATCACTCAAACAGGGATATGCCCCACTGGGGACATGGTCCCCCCCCGCCCCAAGTCATCCCTCAAACACACACACGCACCCCAAGCAATTAACATGGTAAACAATTAACATGGTAAATAACTCAGCAATCAGCAGAGAGGGGAAGTACCCCTGGACAGAGAGAAAATGCATCATAGACTCTGATGTCACCAGGGACCGGAGGGGAAGAAAAATCTCCCAAGTGCCCTCCGAATGCCAAGGGAAACGCCTGGAGATCACGGCCACCTCCCCACCAGCTGCACAGAGCCAGTCAGCGGAATTGCCCCCGCCCTTAGGTGGAAGTCGGAGGACGAAGGCTGGGCAGACGGGGAGATGGCGCAGGGAGACAGAGGGAGAAGGGCAGGGTTGTCCTCTGAAAGGAAGCAATTGGCCTTGAGATGCTCCCATTTGACTCCCAGTCTGGGTGCAAAGTTAATAGAGAAGCAGCCAGTGAGTCTTGTTTTCCTGCCGTTCTCCCCTCTCCCCCCGTGAAAACGTCCCCGGGCTCTTGGGCCTGTTTATCTTTTTCCCCAGCCCCTAGCCCCGGTGAAGCAGCGCTAGCACCTGGGGCCCGGTCCCTCCTACCCTGGCATCATGCCAGCGTGGAGCGAGTCCGAACGCTGCCGCTCTGAGTCAGTAGCATTTCCCGCCCTCCCTGCCGCGGTGTCAGTGACAACGCAGGGAGCGAAGCGCTCCGGGGCCTTGTCTACACACATCGCACCAGGGTGAGATCGTCGACATAGTGCAACCGGAAAAGCTATTCCGGTGGAGTGCACTCACAGCGGGCACCATGGTGCATTGTGGGTAGGTATCCCAGCATCCTCCACACCCCAGCTGGCTCCCTGCCTTATGGGGAATTTTGCTGTGTATTGACACCCCCTGGCATTGTAGAGAACTGTGGGAGTCTGGGATTTAATGCCAGGATTCCCTCACCTATCCCATAATTCACCTCGCTACCAACCCAGAGAGAGGCCGCACTGTTGTCCATTGCTAGGGGAGGACGCGCCATCCTGTCGTTGTCGGAAGGGCCTGGCAGGCAGGTGGGCTCAGCAGAGGAAGAGTCGCATAAGGCTCATGGGGAGCATCAGGGTGAATTCAGACAGACACGGGAATAGACCAGGCCAGGGCTGGAGCTGCACAAGAGACCTGTCCTTGGAGGGGGCCAGATGGAGACGTAATGCTCATGGAGGCGGGGTACTGGGTGGAATGGTCCCAGGCCTGGCTCACTCTCAAGAGCTGCCCACAGCTGGGAAGATCTCTCCTCTGACTGCCCAGGAGCGCAGGATGGTGTTGGGATAGGGAGGCTCCAGTGTTCCCATCCACTCACGGGCAGGGGGACCATGCCACATGGGGACTACGGGAACTGGCCACATCCTCCTGGAGATGAGACCAGGTCAGCCCAGCTCCCATGGCTCAAGGTAGCATGAAAAGTAGGAATGGAGGGAGCCCCCAGAATTCCCCCCCTTCCTGTCCACATTCCTTCTGCCCCCCAGGCGGAGCCGTCCCCGGAGGGAGGGCTGGAGAGGTGTCTCAGAGGATGGTGCAGAAGGACGGCTGCTGGACCGCCATGGCTTCGTTACTGGTGTAGGCTGGCCCAGGCTGAGGTGCTGAGACTGGATGTTCTTGCGCTCCAGTGTGGATCTCAAAGCCCCTGCTCCCTTTGGGGGTTTGCTCAGGCTGGAACAGGAGCACACAGATATTGGGGATCAGTAAAGAGCCAGCGACTGCCCCCCATTGGCGCCAGGTCTCAGGGGCCAGCAGGGGCCCCTAGTGCTGCAGCATGGAGACCCTTTCCTGTGGCCTGGGGATAACGGAGGGCAGATGGCAGCCCGGCCAGCCAGGGAGAAGAGCTGATTTTCGAGGGGAGCAGCCATGTCAGGCTGCTGGCACCTCCTGGCCAGACCCTGCTGGGATCAAGGTGTCCAGACTTGGCAGTTCTGGGCCCAGATTTGGCAGTGCCCTGGGTCCTAAAAGGTCACTGCTCCTCCCTCCCCCATGTTAGGTCTCTGGGGACGGAGGAGCTGCTGGGGGTGGGAGGCGGCAGGGACGGGGAAGGGAGAGGGCCTGGCTGACCTCAGGAGAGAGGCTGTATCTGCAGCAGCCTCCCTGCAGGGTGCCCAGAGCCCTGGGTCTGGGTGTGGGGCAGAGCAGAAAGGCTCACACCCAACCTCCCCTGGTGAGATGGCGCTGTCACCCTGACGGGTGCTCCCCAGCCCGACGACTGCCTGTCTGCAGGGAGCGCAGTCAGGGAGTGACTGCCTGGCAAAGCCAGTGCCACTGAGCGGACAGGGCCTCGGGAGGGCACCAGCTGGGCGGAGACGGGGAAGCACAGGGCCAGGGTGAATGGATCTCCCCACTCTGCAGGGGTGGGGGCATCCCCAGGCTGGGCCTGTGCTGTACAGGGGTGCAGAGGGGGATGCCCAGTGGCCTGGTCTGTGAGCTCCTTGGACACAATCAGAGACATCATGGTGATGCCGTGCTCACCGACACGTCCCAGGGCTGCACAGCAACACCGTAGAGGTCCATGCAGCATTGCTGGTAACAGCAGCACTCAGCCTCCTGTGCCAGCAGGTCCCAGCGGCTCCCCTCCCCCACGATCCCCGTCGGATCTGCCGGGTCCAGGATGATGGGCCTGAAATGGAGCGAGATACGAAGAGTGGCAGTGCTGACCGGCTGGGCTGCAGGGGGCTGGGCACACGCTGCCCCCTGGCCCACAGGCTCCGTCCTGCTAGGCGCTGTTGGCTGTCGGTCACACGTCTCTCAGCAGGGAGGGGCTGGGCCTCTGCTCGCCCCAGGCTCTCCCCACCCGTCCCATTCCGGGGTCCCGAGTGCAAGCCCTCTGCACCACCCTCTCCCCTCCCACAGGGGCTATCGGGGCCTCACCCCCCTGCTCCTCCAGCCCAGCGGC